TTATAAATTAAGGGGTTTTCCTCCACATAGTACATTTAAAGATAAAGGAACAGAATTGGAAGACAAGATGGCAATGATGACCACTTAACATTACATTTACTCTGTTACTGTGTTCAGTGTCCAGGGATACAATGAGAAGTGTGTGAGAGACAGCTATAGTGCTCTCAGAATATCATCTTACTCCTTCTGTACTGCTCACAACAGCCACATCATAGGCAAAGCTTAGAGTTATTTAGGATAGAGAATCTCTTCTGCAGCATCACTGTGTCCAACCAACAGGGTTAAAAGGGCGCCTGCTTATTTTGCTGGCTTGTGATGGTGGATGAAAGAGTACTTTACTTCTTTGATGACCAGCCATCACACCTATCAATAGTAATGCAGAGATTGGCTTATAGAAGCCCCTTTCTCAGCTGCTTTCAATGGGTGGGAACAAAAGTGGGAGGGATTGGCTGACAGCATTACTTTTTGATCTGTTCTGGGATCCAGAGTTACAATGAAGTGCCGAGGAAGTAGAAGAAGAAATAAGATGCAGGGCCACAGGATCACCCAGGTAGCAGAGCTCTTCTTCTATTATCTTAATTCACTAGTGTCTTCTAGAGAGAAGCCTATGAGAAGATTGCCATAAAAGGTTTCTAACCCAGCCTTCTAATGATCCTGAAGCAATTTATAACTTAAACCCTGTCTCATCCCAGCTTACTTGTAGTCTAATACAGATGAAAGTTGTATATAAAATGACAAAGCTAACCAAACACACTGGAACATGAAATAATTAGAGAAAACAAGACTGTTCTCTTTACCATGCCACTGCAATTATTTATGATTAAGGACACAGATCATCCAATATTGTACAAACAATGTATCCAATATAGTTGACTAATGATTTCCTTCTCAAATCTTATAGTAAAAGCATAATGTAACTTGTTCTTGAATTTCAGGGTTTGTTTGTTGGCTAATTTCTGCTTTAGTACCCTAGAATGTCTGAAGCTTAGTTTCTGCAGGAATATCTCTGTAGATGCAGTTGCAAAACTATGTAAAAACTGCAAAAGGTGAGTGTAATTTAAACTGTGATGCTGAATTCTATATAAAATTCAGATCATTTAATTTCAGCGACTTGTTAATAAGAAGGTTGGGCTTGTTTTAACTATTGAAATCAAGTTGCAAGGAGAGATATCCTGGTGCCCTCTAGATATTATGGACTATTGGCTATAATGTCAGGAAACTTAGGGTTTATAAATGTTGTCACTTAATCCTTAGTATTTGAGATGTTTAAAATAATAAAAAAGAAATTGCCGAGGGTGTGACCAAGATTTATTATACTATGCATAGTATGGAAATAAAGAATAAGATCCCTGTCTTCCCTAATATTAGCACATTCAAAGGACAAAGTAGTTTTTAGTGAGCCCATAATTAATGAAATGTGCTACTTCAATGTGTGATAATGTCATTAATTTTAATGGTTTGAATAAGGGTTTAGACAAATTCATGGTCAAACATATTTTTCTGATGTTCAAGAGTAAGGCCAATGCCTCTTTAGAAATAAATGACATCCACACACAAGGGTGAGATATAGTAGCAGGTTAATGGAACTTATTTTTTTTAACTATAAACTTTTTTTTAAAAAAAGAAAGCCTAATGAGAGAACAAAGCAAATTAAAAATGACAAGCCTAATCAAGATTAGAAATAGAGGGGCAATGGACTAGAATATCTAGGAAAAGTGCTGGAAGAGGCACTGGACCACTTAACAGGAGTGCTCCACACTATATTTTATTGCATGCCCACCTGTATTAAATAGCTAAATCAGAGATTCCTAGCCTTTGGTGGCCATTGGGCACACCTGGAACTTGGAGACCTTGTTTTGGACATTTTTCACTAAATGCTTGACATAGTGAGCAGGACCAGTCACAAAATACTCATTTACCAGAATTTACTGTATACTTGTGAGCTTGCCACTCACTACCCCATCAAAGATCCCAGAATGTTCTCTGTCTCCTCACCCCTTCCTTTTTCTTTTCCTAGATAGATGGGCACACTTTCAAATGTACCCTGTCATTTGTATCATTCTGAATATATATGGGGCTCAAGGATTCTTGCAAATAAATATTTTTCTTGGGACTTGGACTTTTATTTCACAGAAACTTCCTGTTAGCTTTAGAAAAAATTAAACAATATTTCTAAACAGAGAATGGAGCCTGCTCCCTGTTCAAGCATTTTACTCAGTGTATGGACCTTTCTCCTTAGCAAACCAACACCATGAGAGAAAAAGTTTTGTACTTACAGACAACCTAAATGTGTTGGGTAAACAGTACTAACTAGGAGCTAGTTTGGTGTAATGGTTAAGGCATCAGACTAGAAACCGGGAGACCATGGGTTCTAGTCCCACCTAAGCACAAAGCCAGCTGGGTGAACTTGGGCCAGTCACTTTCTCAGCCCTAGGAAGGAGGCAATGGCAAACCACTTCTGAAAAACCTTGTCAAGAAAAC